AAAACTGGTGCACCTTGTCATCAGGTCATTCCTCAATGAAATGCAGAACACACGATACCACTAGACTTGAGGAATAGCGAGAGATAGGGCTCCCGTACGGTATACTCCTCTTGGTAGACTGCAGACCAAGAGATCCTTAGCAATGCCAGAATCTTGAGAAAACGCACATGAGTCGTCCACTAGCTGACATAGGACGTGAATGGCCCCATACGATCCTACCCTGAGAGGGCAACTCAGCCAGACAATGGGGACAGCCATGATAAGGACCGCCATTGGGACCCAAACACCAGTCGTGGCAGGCTACCCCTGTGGATCCCATGTGGGACATTAAGAGACAGGGAGTCATAGATTGCCTTCCCATGGCAAACTCCAGCAAAAAGGGGAAAGCACGCAGGACTCCTCCGAAGTGGTTTGGCCAGGCGAAACGACACTTCCAGGAATTCGGTCTGAAGCAAAACCCAAAGTATCCTGTAGGTAAACGGGATGCGTACGCCCCGAAGGAGACCAAGCTTGGAAAACTCGTCCCTCGCCTCGCTGAGGGTCCGGCAGCCAGTTGGAGAACCGCTCCGTATGGCGGTTCGCACCGAATGTAATCATGCCAGTACTCGAGACCCCGGAGGGTGAGGCAACCAATCATTGGGGTCTCTCCATGGTCGGGTGAAGCAGTCTGCCACATGAGTGTCTCGTCCCGCATACATTCTGTCACAAATGACGAATACTTGTCCAGAAGCTATAGATAGCGATCCTATTTGAGATCCGACTGCAGTTCGTAGTGGGCAACCGGTGAGAAGTCCATGCCGGAAGGTAGCGAGCAATACTGTGAATGTTGAACAAACCTGCAGGTAGTTTCATGCAGTTGGCGTAAAGGGGTCCCTCCTCCGGAGTCATCAATTAAGTTTTAGATGAGCTTCATCCGAAGGTCACATGATTTGGTCATACCAGGCCGAAGACCCGAGAAAGCGCCATGTTGGAGCGGCTGATAGTACCGGATCCTGGAGGTATGGCTTCCATGGCGAATAGCCACCAGTCAATTAGCCGGGTTGGGCCCCTAAGTGTAAACCGCGGGTTGCGGAGCATATACCTGGTATTTTCCTTGAAGACGGACATCTTGGTCCTCGGGAGGTGGAGCACCGCCTGGACCGAATATTCCATGAAAGACCGGAAACTGGGTTGACTGGGAGTGAGTCAGATTCAATATGTCCATGTTGATGGCAAAATCCATGCGGGTTTCTCTCATGTGCATTTGAGGGAGAGAACCAATCGTCAACGCCGAGCAGCTCTCAGAGGGGATGAGTGCCCTCCGTCTCAAAATGTGTCAACAGACGACATGCACTGGGAGCATGTAGCGTGGGGATGGGGCGGGAGTCCACTCCACCGCAACCCTTTGCCCAGCAGGGCAACTGCGGAATGAGTCGGAATGGATGCCTCTTTTGGTCATGCGTATCGCTCATGGAATGGTCCAAGGTACCGCAACCTTGATCTGGAGTCCGGGCACGGTCCGAGAGACCTCTGGGTCTAGTTAAGGGGGAACCCTATGAATAGAGACGTGTCAGCACAATTTGTACACGAGGGTAACTCCGGAGAGCAGACCCAGCACTTAGATGCTAAATCCATCAGTTTGATGTCCAGCTTGGACTGGGGCCGTTTTGCGGTTCTCAGGGGTAGAAACCAACTAGGCGATACCTATAAGTCATATCGGTCCATTCCCAGTGGGAATTTAGTCTTCTACGCTTTCCAAGCGGTAACGCGCCGTTCGTCCCGAGGAAACATCTGTGTCCGTGTGTCACCGACATCCACTGGTTAGTCCCAGATAGAGTGCAAGCCCCGTGTCAGGTGTCTGCGGTGTCCTTTCCGGACTCCGTCATGAAGACTGATCCTCTTGATGAATCCATCCGTTAGCCAACGAATACCAGGGGTGCTTGGTGTAGCGTCTAGGATGGCCGGTGGAGTGTCCCCGTAGGGTACCGATGGTTTCTGGCAGTGAGGTCAGCGGGGTGGCAAGAGGACAGGCCAAGTGACCTTCTGGGTACGGGAGATTTGTCCTTCAGTCGTGATTGCACAACTGCCATAGAGGTAACACTGTCGGAATGATACCTAGCGCGGCCAGCTGGGGGTCACCCAGCGTGCAAGAGGGGGTCACCCAACAAGCACAAGCATACCATGCAGTATAGGCCAGCAGGGGAGGGGGTCACCCTCAGTCTGAACATAATCGGACACTGTAGGTACAGTAGTGCCGAAGTGGTTAGCCGTATAATAAAGTAACCAGACATTGCCGGTCTAGCAGTGTAGACGGCAGGAGGGGGTCACCCTCATATAACCAGAACCGGGCATTGCAGATCCAGCAGTGCTGTAGGTAAGAGGGGGTCACCCTCAGTGTGGTATCATAGAGGTCTGTACACCCAGCAGTGTAGTCAGCGAGAGGGGGTCACCCTCATTATGGTTATAACGGGACCCTGTAGGTCCAGCAGAGTAGTCCACAGGAGGGGGTCACCCTCAGTATCTGCGTATTGCAGGGCACTGTAAGAACAGAAGCTCAATCAGTGGGAGGGGTACCCTCTTTTATGGGAATACCCGGACGCTGCAGGTCCAGCAGTGCAGACTGCAGTAGGGGTACCCCCTCGGTATGATAATAGCATGACATTGCCGGAGCATTAGTATAGGAAGCAGGAGGGGGTCACCGTCAGCATAATCTTACAGGACGCCGTAGAGCCAGCAGGGTACTTATAGGTAGCCATGTTGCCAGAGGGAGGGGGTCACCCAGCCCACAATGGTGTCACACGTCCATTATTATGGTCCAGTAGCCCCCCTGAGGGGTAGGAGGGTCCATATAGCGAGAAGCTGACTCACAGACCACTCAGGTATTATATTAGGATACACTTTTGAAGTGTATGTGTAGTGGAAAATTTAAGTCCCTTGCAGGAAGGGCAGCAAATCCTAGGCAGGGGAGCTAGGTGCTGAAAAACAGGCCATTTAATTTTTATGAGAAAAAGACTGAACCTTAGAGAAGGACTTGATTAGCATATAACACATGTGGCATAGTCTTGTTAAACAAAGATTTTTATTTGAGCAGTAACATGTCCCTTTAAATCTAGATTCACATGTAATAGTAAAAAAAGTGTGACAAGTCTACTGCTAAGATAGAGAACCTAGTCACATTGCATCAGACATAGTAAGCTGCAGTTGTGAGCGTGCCTGGGACAGATCCTGCTATCCAGGATCTGTTACATTTGCAGCATGTGAGACAGGCACAGTAAGTAGAGGGATAGCTGAAAAACTGGGCTATCTCCCCTGATATAGGGAGAGGGGAGGGTGGCCACATGGCCAGCAGGCCAATTCGTGGGTGAGACCTGGCTGGTCGCAACGCACAGAGCCCATGTGGCTCTGAAAAATGGCCGCCGTGGCTGCAAAAACAGAGCGCGGCCTACCGCGTGGTGATCGTGCGGCACTGCCACGGTAGAAAAAGCTGCTCAGCAAGCGGCCAGGGGCCACGGGGAGCAGGTGGGGAATAAGGGAGAAGGGTATGGGCGACAGAGCCCAGCAGGGGAACCTGGGGAGGGGAAACAGATTACAGGCAGAGCCAAAGCATCATAGCAGCGGCACCCATTCCCCATACAGCAGAGTGAGAAAAACTGCATAAAGTAACCCAGAATAACAATACATCAATGAGCAGTATACAGAATATATCAGATAAATGGCCTAAATACAGCAACAGATGTTAACAAGTGATACAGCAGCTACATAGCATGAAGTGGTATAGGAAATAACACAGCAATAGACTGCCTAGATAAACCCAGCAATAGACTGCCTAGATAAACCCAGCAATAGACTGCCTAGCTAAACCCAGCAATAGACTGCCTGGATAAACCCAGCAATAGACTGCCTAGCTAAGCCCAGCAATAGACTGCCTGGATAAACCCAGCAATAGACTGCCTAAATAAAACCAGCAATAGACTGCCTAGCTAAACACAGCAATAGACTGCCTAGCTAAACACAGCAATAGACTGCCTAGCTAAATCCAGCAAGAACCCTGCCTAAATAAAACCAGCAATTAAGCTGCCTAAACAAACCTAGCAAATAGACTGATTAAATAGCCTGTTTAAATAAACAAGCAGCATGTAGGATAAAACAACCCAGAGCAGAGACAACTCTGAGTTGGTGAGTGCTCACCTGGAGGCAGCAACAAAGAAAGAGGAAGTGGAAGAGCCTGCTTAGGGGTTTTATACTACTGTTGCTTTGTTCTGATTGGTTGTTTTGAAAAGTTCTGTTAACTGTTTCTTTGCTGCTGGAGGTTTCAGTAAAGAAGGTAAAGCAAATATGAAGCCTCCTGTCCTGCCATAAAATTGGGGTTAACAATGGTAATCATGATATGGTTGATTGCATTAAGTGTAAAATTCAAATCTGTCACAGGTACTTCACTGTATACTACTGTATCCACAACCAGACAATATGATATGAGTGCACAATATCTCTTGTAAATCCATGTTCGAGTGTACATGAGCTTAATTAATCATTGCTATGTTACTTATGTCAGATATATATATATATATATATATATATATATATCAGAAAGGAAATACATATATATTGTGGGATAAAACAAATACATGAATAATGGTAAAAATGCAATTTAGCTAATATGCCATGACAGTGCAATCTTAACTGTGTAAACAGATATTAAAAACAAAAAAACACACCAGTATTTGTTAATTAAAAAAATCCAACCCACACACATACATATTACTATCAGATATATAATTATGTTTAGTTATATACAAAATAGCAATATAATGTAATATATTCTTATTTAGCAATATATATATATATATATATATATATATATATAAATACATATATATGGGGAGGCGGAGCCTGGAGTTGTAGGGGGGGTTGAGCCGGTCTATATATACTCATATCTACCGCTATACTGGGCTGACGTCGGCTGGTCATTTCCGCTTCCGGTTTCCTGAAGACAGTCTCCCTCGTGATCTATCTCCCCGGGCTTACCAGGATTCCTTCCAGGCTCCCAGCGCTTCCTTGACCCAGTCAAAACGCTTCCGCCGGTCCACAACAGCTCGGGCACCCTCACCGCCGCATTCCCGGTGCCTCTGCCGCACTTCCGGGTTAGCTGTCAGGCAACTGGAAACAGTGAATAATAGAATTACACGTGACACATCCTAAACGCACGAACCGCATCAATCCATACGAACACCTATAATTACGTACGGCTATACTCACTTAATACGTCTAGTCATACAAACGAACGGGAAACTGCATGAAATACTCTTTCACAAAACGGCCTAATTCACGCATTAAAACATACAAACTCACTAATTTTGCCCATATGAACTCACAGGAAACTAGATTTCAAACGAACTCAGACACAAACCTTTCTCCCCCAGCACATACACCATTAATTCAAACAAATGTATCCACTTACTCTCACCAATGTGAAACGAACAGATCCAGGTCGGCTAAAATCAGTCAAACCTGCACAAACACCACCTGTGACAGAACCATCTGTCTGCTTATTTTAGGTGCATTCGTCTGTTTGTATCCCGTTCGTATGAATGGCTGTTTTCTATAGCCCAGCCATTCGAATGACTCTTTTTCCCGAACAAACCTGCCGAACGGACGGCCACCCAGGAGAGAAGTGTGCTGCTGGTTAACCTATTGATCCCAATTAGAACGTTGTGGTTAACCGCAGACACTTCTCAATTAAACCGAATTCAGGGTGGTCGTCGTTCGTATGTCGACCACGAGGCAGCGGCCATTTTAAACCACGCGAAAGCCCAGCGGTGTTTGGCTCTATTTCTATGGAACTAAAAACGGACACTTTTTCTGCCAAACACCGCTGAAACAACGGAACGCCTGGTTGTCTCCACGAAAGCATACAAATACCGGCCGTTTGGAGGTTTGGAGCATACGAAAAGACTTAACCCAGATAGCCTTCCCATGGAGTCATTTGTATACCGAAAGACTGTAAGAACTTTGACTCCATGGCGATTGAACTATGTGTGTGGGATCTGAGCGCTATTCACTAATAATATGCACTCAGATCCAGGCTATCTGGGGATATGTGATACGAATGGGAAATGTTCGGTTATTTTAAAGTTATGCATTTTTATGTCTTTTATGATTTTATATTTAACCCCTTAAGGACCGAGGACGGTTCAGGACCGTCATCGGCATTTTTGCGTTGCCGACCGATGACGGTCCTGAACCGTCCTAACGGTCAGAGCTACTTACCTGATCGCCGCCGTTCCCCCGGCGGCGATCAGCGTGGCTCCGGTTGTGGGGAGACTGCCTGCAGCCCAGACAGTCTCCCCACGGCAGATTAGGACCCCTGTGGCCATGTGATCGCTTAACACAGCGATCACATGGTCACAATAGGTGTCCATAGTGCTGCCTGCAGGGGGGCTGCCTGTGCTGACAGGCAGTCTCCCTGCTAGTGTAAAATCAAAAAAAAAATTAAAGTTAGTGTTAATAAAAAAATAAAAATAATTATATATGTGTATATATGATATATAGACATATATTATATTCATATAATATATGTCTATATATCATATGTATATAATGTCATACTAAGTGTATTTTTATATTAATATGTACTTATATTAATATAAAAATACACTTATAATTAAATTACACACATATATATATAATATATATAATAACTATATATATTGTATATATATATTATTATAAAATATAAATAATAAGTAATTAAAATTAATTAAATTTTTTTTTTAAATAATAATAAAAAAATTTAAAAAAATTATATAGCTATATGAAATTTTATTCTAACTGTATTTTAAAATTAATATATATATATTTATATCAAAATACACTTAGAATGAATTTGTATATATATCTATGTATATAAAAATAAATAAAAATAATAAGAAATATACATACGCCCATATACAAAATTACATAAATAATTATATAAATATACACGTAGACTTCAAATATATAAATATGCATATATATTTAAATTCTACGTGCGTATTTATGTAATATTTTTACATAATTCAGTAATTTTATTGATTGCAATTTGAGGGACCTGCCTGCCAACCCAGGCCGAAATTCCAGAGAATTTAATTTGCTAGCACTGTATTTTACCTGTAACGTTCTACGACACCCTAAAACCTGTACATGGGGGGTACTGTTTTACTCGGGAGACTTCGCTGAACACAAATATTAGTGATTCAAAACAGTAAAACATATCACAGCGATGATATTGTCAGTGAAAGTGACTTTTTTTGCATTTTTCACACACAAACAGCACTTTTACTGATGATATAATTGTTGTGATACGTTTTCCAGTTTTTAAACACTAATATTTGTGTTCAGCGATGTCTCCCGAGTAAAACAGTACCCCCCATGTACAGGTTTTATAGCATTTTTGAAAGTTACAAGGTCAAATATATGGGTCAAATATTTTTACATTGAAAATGGCCAGGTTGGTTACGTTGCCTTTGAGAGCGTATGGTAGCCCAGGAATGAGAATTACCCCATGATGGCATACCATTTGCAAAAGAAGACAACCCAAGGTATTGCAAATGGGGTATGTCCAGTCTTTTTTAGTAACCACTTGGTCACAAACACTGGCCAAAATTAGCGCTCAATTTAGTTTTTTTACTTTTTTCACACACAAACAAATATGAATGCTTACTTTGGCCAGTGTTTTCGACTAAGTGGCTACTAAAAAGACTGGACATACCCCATATTGAATACCCTGGGTTGTCTACTTTAAAAAAAATATGTACATGTGGGGTGTTATTCAGAGATTTATGACAGATAATAGTGTTACAATGTCACTATTGATAAATTTTAAAAATGTATGTTTTGAAACCGCAATATCCTACTTGTACCTATAGCCCTATAACATGCAAAAAAAAGCAAAAAAGCACGTAAACACTAGGTATTTTTAAACTCAGGACAAAATTTTGAATCTATTTAGCAGTTTTTTTCATTCGCTTTTGTAGATGAGTAAAAGATTTTTCAAGTAAAAGTCAAAAAACATGTATTTTTTTCAATTTTTCATCAGATTTTTGTATTTTTTTTAAATTAAAATACATGAGATTATATAAATAATGGTATGTAAAGAAAGCCCCTTTTGTCCTGAAAAAAACAATATATAATTTGTATGGGAACAGTAAATGAGAAAGCGGAAAATTACAGCCAAACACAAACACCACAAAAGTGTAAAAATATGCCTGGTCGCAAATGTACAACATCGCAAAAACAGTCCAGTCCTTAAGGGGTTAAAATGGCGACTGGCTTTGTCCTGGAGATAATTGAGTTACTTGGTAATTATCTCCAGGGCAGAGGGGAGGGAATCATAATGCACTGTGGGTAAAATCTGTGACTGTGTGTCTGGAATGTCCCCATATCTGTCTGTCATTTAAGTCTCCCATTTGGTCCCCTAGGGGAGTGTCCACCAAGTGGGAGACCTGCATAAATACGGGCAGGTGAGCCCACAGTAAAGCCAGATCCTGTTTGACCCTCAATTGCTGGGCATTTTGTATATTTCATATGTGCCACTAAGTTCAAACCCCCCAAATTATGCTCAGCTAAGTCTTCTGATTAAAAAGACACCCCCAATGAATGTCTTTGGCACTATTTTGTGAAGCTACAGTGCCATATCAGTTTTTACCGAACTTTGAATTTTGACGCTGGGCCTATGTGCAATTTCCAAGCATCTTCAAAGGTTTGAAATTCAAATTACCCCGCAAAAGCCTACCATTTCTTAAAGTAGACACCCCAGGGTATTTTGAACCTTAGCGTGGGATCATTTTTCCACTAGCTTGTACCAAGTGTAGTGGTAATAAGCGTTTTTTCTGCCTTTTTGACACACAAAGTGAGTTTGCACAGTATATTTTGCAAACCTTATGTGTGCTACGACTGTATAATACTTCATATGTTGCTCAGCTATGTGGTCTGAGTACAGAAATACCCCCGTATGTACCTTTGCCAGGTATATGTGGATGTTGAAGGGGCGCATTTGAGACGCAGCCATTCAGTTTTTTTCTAACTTTGAAGTTTTACGCTGTGTCCATGTTTCAATTTGGAGTAGTTTAGATGGTTGGTTAATGAAACTTCCCCACAAACACATACTATTTATTAAAGAATACACCCTGGGGTCATTCAAAAGGCATATTTTGAACCTTGGAGTGGGATCATTTTTTCTTGAGTTTGTTCCAGGTGTAGTGGTAATGAGCGTTTTTAAATGTATTTTTTTACTTTTTAAAACTTTTTTTACTTTTAAAAGCTAGTTTTTAAACTTTTGTTTTGCTTATTAATTTTTTTTAAACTTTCCTAAACTTTCTTAAAACTTTTTTTTACAGATTTAAAATTTTTCTAAGCTTTTTTTTACTGTTAACCCCTAACTAGCAGTAAGCAGCTTTAACAGTAAATTCCCCATTTTCCCATAACTCCCACCCACCCCAGATAGCAAAATATATAATTATAAAATATTTAAATTAGTTAATTAAATAAATTGAACCCCTGAGGGTTAAAAAATAAATAAAAGTTTGGGGCGGAGCTAGCAGCAGACCCAGTCAGACGCATCTCCCTTGAGCTCCGACACTAAGTGGGCCAAACGGCCAATTTAAAGGCCGAAAATCGGAGCACACGGGCAGTCACCTACCCTGCAGCTGGTCGCAAGAACATGGACCGAAAAACAAAGAAAACTAAGGCGGACCGGGCGCCCAGCAGCCGAGATATTGGCGATCTCCTGCGGCGCACTCAGCAGACCGCATGGCCCAATATGGAGCCGCATATTGAAGATGAAGCATCTTCTTACTCCTCTGAGGACTTCCACGCTGATATGGATGGAGGAGCCATGCTGGGAGCTGTACCAAAGGTACAAACTACACCACCTGCTGGCCAAGAACCGATCACTAAAAATATGCTGAAATCCATGCTGGAGGACCTGCGCTCCAATATAGCAGCCGACATCTCACAATTTAAAGAGACAGTAGCAGGCGCACTTACCTGACTTACAGCCCCAGAGGCCACATCTAGCAACCAGGATTCCAGACTAATTAAAGTAGAGCAGAGACTGGAAGAAATACAACTAGCCCAGAAAGGCATGGAGGTCAGAGTTGACACCCTGGAAGAACAGAGGCGACGGTACAACCTTAAACTGAGGGGCATCCCTGACACAGTGAGTACAGAGGAAAACGCCGCACTAAATAAGGCGTCTCATCTCAACACTGCTACCGGCCAAACAAACAAAGGCACT